GTGCTGATGTCTTTACCCATGCAATGACCAGCTATTTCTTGGAACTCTACCACTATTAAAACCACGACACACTTCTATTATGGAACTTTTAGCAAACTACATCTGCCATGGATACTTAATACTCTAATAGTAATGTTTTGTGCTTACCCAGTGCTTTTCATGTTTAAAGTGCTTTACATATATGACCTGCTGGGAATTAAACCTCCCATCATCCCCTGAGTTGGGATACTATTAACATCCCCATGGAAAATAACACTTAGCAACCATGGATGGTGAAAGTGAGGCCCAATCAAGTGGAGGAACAGAGTTAAACAATGCACATTTCCGGGCTACAGTGAGAAAAATCAGTGACAAAGGGAGGACTAGAACTCAGGAGATTTCCAATTCCCATGTTACGCTCAAGCTACGCTATGCCACACCTTTGTTCAATATTAGTTGAAGGATAAGTCCTATGTAGCACAAGCCAGATGCTCAAAATCATGAGAAGGAAGACAGAAAGAAAGGAAGACAAAAAGAAACTTGTGGAACTCTATCTGCCTTTTAGGTTTTGAACCTTTAGTGTGCACTGATTTCATGTTTTAAAGTTTGTTCTTCTTCAACCAGATTTTACTTCTTGTTTGAAAAGAAAACTGTGATTCTCACCTATTTACCTCCAAGACTTGGGGTTTAAGATAAAACACCAAATGTCACAAGTTATGAAATTCACGACAGCTGGCCACACTGCCCACAGAAGTCCCTAATGACTGTGGTCAGGGAGAAAGAGAACTTTTAACCTATTTTTTTAAAGCAATATTTTTAAATTGGCTATTTGGAAACTGATCTATATCCAGGGGCCATTAAAAAAATAAAACAAAGTAAATCTAATAAGCATGCTAAATTTAAGCTAAAATAAAGAAAAATCCAAGCTGAAGTAGAGAAAACAAGAACTGCCTAACTCTTTGACCAATCCTGTCAGTGAAAAATAAGTAACTGTGGGAGAGGGATAGCCTAATATTCGTTAGACAAGAGGTACTCCCAGCAATTATGATCCTACTGTCACGCTCCGGCAGGGCTCTGCAAGCTCTGCCCAGCAATAGGTGCCGCCAAGCACTCTTCCTTCTATCTGGGAAAGCCCCTGTTTGGCCTGCTGCATGGCCCCTTGGCCATGTGTTAAGTCCCGCCCCTGTGGGGAACCCGGTGGACCAATCGAAAGGGCTTAAATCCAGGCTTGTCATCA